TAAACGAACATAACAACCATTTTGAAAATTTTGAGAAAAACATGTGAATCCTGCAGACCTCGTCCTTCTCCCACGCTTCCGGTACCATAGTCATCGCTGCCTCAGGCAGAGACCGTTGTCCTGCCTTGACAAGGAATTCGCAGACGTTGTCAAAGCATCCGGAATCAGTTAGACCCTGAAACTAAGTTTTAAACTTTTTAGCCCCTTAGCATGGGATTATAGGCTCCTGCTGACGAGGTGAGCTCTTCAAATATCTACAAATCTTATATCGTTGCGGTGATCTCCCTTCAGAGAGATAGTAGAGCCCAGTTTGTCCATAAATTCCTAATAACGCACCTCTTCAACAACCGGGTACAACTTCCCCAAGTCGTCTTCATACAAGGAGCTTGACATCACTCCTTCACGAGCTCGCATTAAATTAATGTTACCACGTAAAGTGTTAATCTCTCCATTGTGAGCCACCATTCTGTAAAAGAAACTTAATTACAGTAGCCCAAACACACATCTGAGCTATGAATTTCCTTCCAATCTGCTCTAAAAGTTTTTATTTGAATCACATCAACGTCAGGAGCAGATGGTCCATTTGCTTTGCTAATACGAATTGCCTAATCAAACTTGCGTTAAGCTAAGCAATTACGAGTACAAGCTTCTGAAAGACCAGTTCATTCGGTGTTCAGAAAAATCTTCCACTATGGCATATTATCACAAAGAGCAAAAAATGCTGCAGATACTTTTTACTTTTGAGAATGTTCAGCCTACAGCTACGTCAATATGTTATGAAATACAGCAAGAGCAAAACTTAGAAATGATTTGTAATATGAATGATGCAAAAACTCTATATTATTATTTGTTTATGGAATTTTTTTCTGAAATTTCTGCCCTTCAATCCAATGGCATTAACCACCTCTGACAGCTACTTTTTTGAAGTTAACGCAATTAGGTGTTCTGACCTTTTTAGCGGATAATGGTCGACAGATGCACTGATTTGCAAATTTCAACAATGCAGGCCTGTTGTCTGTACACCGTAAAACCAGTATTAGTTCATTGAATTCACACAGCTTCTATCATACTAGGTAAATTATGTTTGAAATCGTTGGATTGGCCAAGAACAGATCTCCAAGCAGATACGACAGACCACTATTACTGTATGAGTAGGAGTTGTCGTTTAACTTTTGAAACGGAACAAAACTGGCATCAGCGCTCTCAAATTTTTATGGGATAAGGAGAAGAAATTTACTTTTCAAAAAAATAGTATTTTCAATAAGAGTGCTGCTTAAATGTGTTTTACTTACTGTTTCTCTCTCAAAAGTACTTGCAAAAATTCAGCTATCAATGAGCAAAAACTAGATAAAAACAAAATCTACCTGTTTGGTTGAGCTCTCGGCCAGCTCGGTAGAGTGTTAGTCGAGAAACGCGAGTGCACAAGAGCTATGTGCGTAATAAATTCAGGATTCCTTAGATCATCATAGTACAGATACAGTTGATGAGTATTGAATTGGCCCTAAACATAGAGTGTCAAAGGCAGTGGAAGTACAATATTCGAATACTATCGTTTTTATTCCATATGTAGTTTTCTAACGTTTACTACACCCAGGCATGTTAAATCCTTACCAGTATGAGCCAATGATAGATAAGGTTGCCAGATAGATGTCCGTAAATTTTTTCTGCTCATTTTCATGCAAGATTTCAATTTTTCCACTAGTTGTATATCATTTGAAAGCTCTTCTCCAGCGGTACAAAATTCTATCCACCGTTCAATCGAAATGTTATTTTGACTCTGACTTTCGGGGTGAGAAGTGGAATGTCAGATAACAGGAAACTGTATTTTTGACACAGTTACGCTATTTAAGCTGGCCAAAAAGCGAAAAGGCTCATTTTCGTTTTGTTTATGGAAATTATGGTGTATATGGTATTTCCGTAATAGTGCTAAAGGGTGATTTATTGAAGCAAATCCTTAATTAAGGCGTTCCAAACAAAGGTCATCCAGATTTGAGGGCATTTTTACGCCCTTTCGAAGAAAAGTAACTTTTTTCACCGATTTTTAACAGGATGTACTTTTCGATATAAGAATGTTTCTCAAGGTGATT